CAGGAGCTGATGTGGCCTAGGGGGTGAGTGAGGTCTGAGCTGAGCCTGAAGAATGGGGAGGAGTTGCCAGGGGAAGTGGTGCAGAGGTGTGGAGGAAGGGGTGTCTCTGAGCAGGGCAGGGCTGAGGGGGGGCTTCTTGCAGGATCTTTGATCTAAGTTGGGCCTTGAGGAAGCAGAGGGGGCAGAAGTAGCGATGAGGGAGAGTTTTGGGGATAGTGGGGTCTCGCATTGTGTAGGAAGGAACAGGGAGAAGAGCCATGCCTTTTGGAGAGGCTGAGTTTGAGCGGCTGGCCAGGCGTCCACATGGAAATGTCCAGGGAGCAGTTAGACACGTGCTGCTCAGGTGCAGGTGAGAAGGGGGTAGAGCTCAGTCTTCTGAAGAAGAAACCAGAGAAGGAAGACTGGAGACCAAGGACACCGGGTGGAGGAAGGGAGCCAGCCTGGAAGACAGAGGGCATCAGAGAACAGTCCTCCAGGGGGGGCGGGAGGTGTGGCTCTGAGAACTGGGCAGGGGCCGCAGGGAGAGCCAGGTAAATGAGGGGGCCTTCCGAATGCATCGTCTTGGTCTCCACCCCTCTCTCGGCTGTGCGCCTTCTCTCGCTTTCCTGGCCGGAGCCCCAGCAGCAGGTCCCCAGCAGCTGGCCATCCCTGGGGCTCCGAGGGAGGTATCAGTGGCCGCCCATCCGGACAGCTGACTAATGATGGGACGCCGATCTGCCTTTGAGCTGCAGAGATGAAAGCGGCCACAGGCGGCGGGGGGTGGGGTGAGCAGGCAGGGGCAGGCCTGCCTGACATCTTCCCACAGAAGGGAGCGCAAGGCTCACCGGGAGTGAGAGGAAGCCTCTCGGCTTAAATAAGTGGGGCCCAGGGAAAGCTGTCCTCCACTGGGGTGGACAGGGCCCTTCACGCATTGCTGACTGCAGGACCCAAGCTTCCTGCACGGCCTGTCGAGAACCTGCCCCTGCTTTAGGCCGGGCTGGGCCACAGCCAGGGAGCAGTGAGAAGGTTCCAGAAACCAAGGCATGGCCAACCTGATCCAGACTGCACAGCCTGCACCTGCCACCCCATGAACCTTTTCTATTGGCTCTACCCTCCTCCTTCAAGCTGTCTCCTCCCCCATCCCCACTCTGATAAAGATATAAAATTTGGGGGAGGTCTGATGGGGAGAGGGGTGAATGGGGGAGAAAGGACACAGCTGCGGGGGAGGTGGCTGGGATGAAGTACGCAGTGTGGTCAGGTGGGCTAGTCTGAGCAGTCCTCTTCTCAGAGCCTTAGTTTTCTCATCAGCAAATTGGAATGAGGGGTATTGCAAGCCCGGCACGTTTTAGAGGGTTGTCGTGAATAAATGGGAGAATGAGTGAGCCTTCCAAATTGTCAGGGTGAGGTATGGGTGGTTACCACAACCACCGGTGCCTCACTTTCAATGTGAGGGCCCCGGAGCCCAATTTTAGGAGGGTCTTCATGGTGCCTGAAATAATGTGTAAAAATGCATGTGATGGCATCTTTCTGGGCGAGGACCCATAGCGCTTAGAAAGGCCTGGGACTGAAGAAGTTTAAGACCCCCACACAGTGCAAGTCATCCCCGTCACTTTTTGTTTTTTGGTAAATATATCTTTATTGATTTCAGAGAGAGGAAGAGAGAGGGAGAGATAGAAACATCAACGATGAGAGTCATTGATCGGCTGCCTCCTGCACTCCCCCCCTGGGGATCAAGCCCTCAATCCCAACGTGTGCCCTGACCCGGAATTGAACCGCAATCTCCTGGATCCTAGGTTGATGCTCAACCACTGAGCCATGCCGGCCGGGCATCCCCGTCACTTTTGGGATGAGTTAGCTGAGACCCAGGCTTATACAGCTCATCAGAGGCAAAGCCAGATGTGGGGCCCGGATCCCCCTCCACTACTCCCTGCTGCCGCTCCAGGCCAGGTGGGGGGAAAGCAGAGTTAGGGATCAGGGAGGGGACAGCAGCCAGAAGTGGAGTCCAAGCCCTATTGGGAGTAGGGGCCCTGTGCTCATTTTTGTTGTTGTTAATCCCGAGGATGTTTTCCATTGATTTTTGGAGAGTGGAAGGAGGAAGAGAGAGAAACGTTGATGTGAGAGACACATCAATTGGTAGCCTCCCGCACGCTCCCTGACCTGGGCGGGGATCGGACCAGCAACCCAGGAGGTATGTGCCCTTGACTAGGAATTGAACCTGTGACCCTTTGGTGTGCAGGCCGATGCTCTAACCACTGAACCACACCAGCCAGAGCTGTCCTCATTCTGTTACCGGGATAAGGACAGCTCGGTGGGGGGCGGGGGATGGTGGGACAGGAGGAAGAGGAGGCCCCAGGGTGGGGGTGGGGGCCTACAAGACCCTTCCTGGAAGCTGAATCCGTGAGTCACCCTCCCAGTCCCCCTTTCCCAACAACCCCCCCTTTCCTGAAAAAGGACTCAGAGTAGGAGACATGACCCTCCCCCTGACACCATCTTGAGATGACTTCTCTGGTTCCCATTTCTTCTTTTGGAAAAGTTGAAGATACCATGTCAAAGCTTTATGGAAAACTGTGAAAGGCCATACACAAGTGTAAAGTAGTCATCGCCCAATGATGTAATTTATTGAGCAACAGCTGAATCCCAGACATGTGCTGGATGCTTTGCCTAAATCGGCATAAATGTCACCATAAATGTCAAGAGGCCTTCCCTGACTACCTGGTTAAAGTAAACCCACTCCTCCCCCTTCACCAGTTATCCTCACATTCCCTGTTCCCTCTGTGTGCTCTTTTCATCCCCTCTCCTCTGATAGGCTATAATCTTGCCATGGGTGGGAGTCATGTCAGTGTATCGAATGCTGTATCTCCATGCTAAGCATAGTGCCAGACACCTAGTAGTCACTCAAATACTTGTTAAGTGAATTCATGACTGTCCCCAATCTTCACAACAGCCTTATGAGGTAGGTATTATCGTGCCTGGTGTATAAAAGAAGAAACTGAGGTTCAGAGAGTCAAAGAGACTTGCTTAAGGACACAGTTTCTTATCGCCAGACTTCAGCTCTGCTCCTTCCCTGGATGGATTTGGAGAACAGGAGAACCTAAGGGTCAGAAGAGAATGTTTGGGCCCAGCAAAATGGCTCACCCGTTAGTTCAGACCCCATCCTGTGCTCAGCCTTCCCCAACCTCTCACTGCACCCCAGTAGCTCCAAGTCATCAATCCGCAGCCACAGAGCTGGAGGCCAGTACAAACCGGCCTGTTTATTTCTCAAGCCAAGTGAAAGCCAGTCCTTCCCACTCACCCCAGAGCAATCTACAGCTGCGAGCACTGCCCCACCCGTCAAGCCTTAACACAGCAGATAAATTAGTGAACTCTTTTATAAAACATGTACAGGGAAAATACATATATACATACAGAGCCAGTGACGGGGTTGGGGTAGGGTTCGCTTCTTGAACACGAGTAACCAGATCCTTCCTTATCAGGGTGCCTGCCTGCTCCTACACTCCCTTTCTCAAGTGGCTCACCTGCTGTTCCCATAAACTGGTACCTCGGTAGGTCATCACAAATCATAAAAGTCCACCATCTTGCCCCCAAAGGGAACTGCTTCCTTGCTGCCCATCCCAGCTTGCTCCTCTGAGGTGGGCCACTCCCTGCCCTCCCTCCTCACCAGGCAGCTTGCATTGGCCTGGTCCGGGGACTTCGGCCCACCAAGACCTGAAGGCAGGGAAGACACACCAAGAAATATTGTTTCCTGATGTTTGGCATCCAAACCAGGACTTTATGAACGTGGAAGGGGTCTAATTCACTGGAAAACACACATAAATTGGGCCTGCTCAGNTCCGGGGACTTCGGCCCACCAAGACCTGAAGGCAGGGAAGACACACCAAGGAATATTGTTTCCTGATGTTTGGCATCCAAACCAGGACTTTTATGAACGTGGAAGGGGTCTAATTCACTGGAAAACACACATAAATTGGGCCTGCTCAGGTAAAGGACGAATGGCCACCTTACTGATAGGTCCCCTGCTCTGAACTGGCCCAGTCCTTCCTCTCTTCACTTCCCCAAACATTCCTGTCGGCAGCAAAGATCTCTCAGGTCACATATCCCATCTCTGCCACCTCCCACTCTCCAAGGCCTTGCAGCATCTTGGCTATACATTTTAAGGCTTCAATAATATTGGGTACCTGTAGTACTGGGGTTGGGAGTAGCTGAGAACAATGCCCTCTCCAAATCCCTGATGGGACCTGGCTACAGAAGGCTTTTGGTATTGAGCCTCAGCCTTCTGGCTCCTTGAGCCCAATCCCCAAATCACAGCTGCCTGGGTCTAAGTAGAAAAGTAAGCCTTATTCTCCGTCTCCCACTCCAAACTTGCCAAGGCTTCCCTCTCTAGGCCTCCCTACAGCTAAAGGCCAGGGCCGGAGCGAGATGAACCATCAACCCCTCACCCCTGCCCTTGGCCAATCAATGCAAAGCACTGTCTGGTACCTGACATGTTGTGTAGGCACATTCCTGGTCCCACCTTTTATGCTAGGAGCCCCCGGAATCACCTCTTGGGGTGGCAACTGGTGGACTGTCAGAGGCTGGAGAGAGCAACCTATGGTGCCCCGCACCCCTACCCACACAACAGGCCATCGCAGCCACCCCAAGATGTGTCCCCATTCTGATTGAATGCCCTGCCCCTTGTTTTTAGAACCCGCTCAGTAGGCCGTGCTTGTAAAACTGCTTTAAATAAGCCTTGCTAAAGCAAATAGTACCAGATAGCAGAAACCCAGGCTCCAGGCCGTCAAAGGCACCTCCTCTGCTCCCTCCTCCCCTCCCACCCCATCCGCAGGCAGTCCACACACCCTGGGAAACACAGGCCCACTCTCAGTCTCACTCAGGCCACTGCTTCTCGCTTGTTGTCCATCTATCTTCGGGGAACAAAGGCTCCTCTGTCTGAGTCAGGCTCCCTAACTCCTGCTGTACCCCTCCCACCCCCATGAAAGTGCCCAGGTCCGACCCCTTGGAGTAGAGCTGCCAGAACCCTGGGCTCAAGATAGGGCATTCCGATGGGCGCCTGGGTAGACGTAGGAGATGGGATGGCGGGTCCCAGGCCTCACGGTGAACGTGTTGATGGGGCTTCCATAGTGGGGGTTGCTGCGGGGAGACCTGGTGGGGAGCAGAAGAGAAGTGAGGTGACTCTTTGCAGCTGGTTAACCAACAGTTCCCCCCAGGGCATAAGTGGAAAAGATGCACTCAGCGCTGTGGTTTCTGCCCCATAAGCCCTGGGCTTATCAACTCAGGTGGGAGCCCAGTATTGATTCAGCAGACTCAGGGCTCCCCCTCCAGTCCAGGCCCCGGGGGCCACAGAGCACTACCTAATACGCTTCTACTCAGAGCCCTTCCCTCAGCCTGGCTCTGGATCTTCTGTGTGGTTCGAGAATCTCGGCACCCAAGGACCACTCAGATTTCTCTCCACCCCACACTTAGCCTGAAGCCCTGGGACTGGGGTGGGGTGGGGCAGGGAGAAGAGGGGGACCTGGTGGGGGAGGCAGGAGCTCGGGGAAAGCGAGAACTGGAGACCATCCAGGGAGACAGGAAGCGGGTGAGGGGAGCGCCCTCTGCAGGTGCAGGGCGCCTCCGCCCCTTTCTCTCGGTCCTGAGAGCCAGAGGGAAGGACACCCACCAAACGTGCCCCAGACTGACGGCGGAGGCCTGGCCCCCGCGCAGTGCCCCCGCCTCCCCTGGCCGCCCCCCGCGCTCCCTCCAGCTCACCTGCCCGTAG